CATTTAATGGTTTATAATGGCTAATATTATTTTAACAAAAATATTAACGTGAAAATTAAATACCTTACAGATACTCCCGTACTAAGCACAGTATACATTTTTTTTTCTTGTAAATAACTTTCTTATCGTTTGCATTTTGTGCCCATGATGTTTGTTTAGGACTTGTTCAAGTCTAAATATTGGTGCCTGAGTTATGCCTAATATCACCGCCGCGCCGTAGAACGATTCTTTTTTACAGCTCACCGTTCAAATCTTATGAATCCGTGCTGGCCACGATTCAATTGAACGAACAGTATTGTAAACAACGAATCAATTCTCACGACTCTTTTTTACGACTCAGCATTTAAATGTTATGGATCTGTGCTGGTTACGATTCAATTGAACGAACCGTATTCTAAGCAGTGAATCGAATCTCACGATTCATTTTTAATACTCGTTCAAATGAACGACAGGTTCAATCTTTGCCCACCTCTAAGAGATTATCACTTGAGTATTTTTCTAAAAAAAAACCTGTGCATCACTGACTTTTTCCTCTTGTTAGCACAGTTGTGTTGATCGTTTGATACCGATTAAAAGTTGTCACTTGATGTTTTGTCAGTTTCAGTCTCTTTGGTATGAAAAATATAGTTTTATTAATTTGCCTTAATTCAAGTCTCAATAGATACCTTTAATTTTTTTAAAGTCATTAACTTGTCAAAGTGTTGAATAAGTACTCATTGTTTTTATCAAAAAATATGAAAAATGCCCCTATCGTTCCTGAGGAATCTTCCCACGAGCTGCCACATAGTTTTTGAAACACCTTGTATTGTGACGTTAGCGTTAATTTAAGAAAAAAAAACTATAGCCATTACGAGAAATCCTTAGTCAGAAACTTAACAGGTAGAAAACGGGCACGTGAGGTCGTAAGGGGTATTATGGAGAGTGTATTGTGGGGTTACTGATGATTTCGAAATGCCATTTTGATATTAGAGCTGTGGAGAGGTTGAAGAATGGTGAACGTACAACGGCAATTAAAGAAGGAAGGATTTTTTATAATTCGCATCATCTGCTGAGCCATTTAGCTAATTTAAAGATTGTCTGTCCAACTAAAAAGTAATGTTAACTTTGTTCTCACAGCGACATATCCAACTGGTTGTCAATTTGTTTATACTTATTATAATAGATTGTTGTTTTTTACACAGCGATAATTTTTAAATCGAAAACTGTTAGATATAGGTATTGGTATATCAGAAAAATTACGGTAGATATCAGAAAAATTACGGGATATGAATATATCAGGTGTTCCATTTAAAATAACAAAGATGCTACCACTTTTCATATGAAGCGGCAACATTGTAACGCTGAAAATAATTTAAACAGATGGAACAGGTGCCTTTATGTAAAAAACCAGTTCTCCATAAACATTTAACGTACCATGGCCGTGAATCACCCTGTAGTATTTTAAGTTAACGTCTCCTTTTTGCTGCTAAGACTAATCTGGATCCTACTTTATTTAAGCGGAATCCGACCCTACGAGCGCTCCAGCAGTCGCGCGACCACTGGCACTGGAGCGAAGTACGTCGCGATATAGGACGTTACCAGTTACATCTATTCGCGACAGACGAAGCAGTCGAGATCGCGCGATGTTACGTACCAGTTCCAGTTCCACAGTTACTGCTGTTCGCGACCCTAGGAGCGCGACGACTGGAGCGGAGCACGGCGCTATGCGGTTACTGCGATTCGAGCAAACTCAAAGAGCGATTTTATTTGCAAATTATAAATAATTTGTAGTTTTGTCGTTATTATAATCGTCGTTCTTCAGTAACAGGTTCCTGATTAGTTGTGTAAGTCAGGTAGCTAATTAATTCCCAGAATGATTTAATTGTTTAATTCGATTTTTATTCATTTTTGAACTACTCCTAATTTTTTTTTTGATAAATTTTCGATGGCAGGATAAAGGCCAGGATAAAATGTTACTACATGGAAACTATTAAAAAAGCAGGCAATAGTGGACTTTCCAGTAAATCAGAAAGAAAGCCAAGATTTCTTCGGAAAATAATACCGCTGGGAATTAAGAAGAAACGTAAAAGAAATAAGGCAAACGAACGTAAAGTAACAGGAGAGATATAATGACAATTTACGGTTTCGTTCTTTTTGGCATGGCGAAGCGAATTAAGAAAACAAAAAGGAAATACAACGAACCCAAGAAAAGGGAAAGAAAAATATATGGATCCTGGATTAAATTAAGCGCTCTTCAAATACAATTTACATTAGAATTAATGTTTGTTTTTAATTTTAGTGGATTTCTTTCAGACAGATAAACAAAACCACAAATAGAAAAAATATAATGTGTTTCTTGTTATGATTAATAATAAATTAATAGTTGATATACCTAATATATAATAATAGCTCCCGTATATAGCGTTTAACGCATTGGGAGTAGGCAAGGTACAGCCTATTTTATTAAAAATAGTCTGCTGATGAAATGCCGGCTGTGGGATTCGAACCCACAACCTTTGGATTGGTAGACGAGAGCTGTACCTCTACGCCACCGGGCACCTTTAGTTAATATTCCTACTTGTATTAATGATGACTAAAGTAGAAAACATTCGACCAATGTGTACTACCAGTCATAACCTATGCATGCAAAACCTGGACACTTAAAACGGACATCATAAGGAAACTGCAGGTCACACAACATTCAATGTAACGAAATATATGCTGGGAATAACCTAGAGAGACCGTAAAAGGAATAGAGTGGATACGACAAAAGATCCAGGTAATAGATGTCATCCACAGAGTCAAATCCCTCAAATGGCAATGGGCAGGACACCTGGCAGGAAGAACGGACAACAGATCGACCAGAAAAATAACAGCATGGTATCCACGAGAAATTAAAAGACCTAGAAGAAGACCGAACCTGAGATGGCACCATGATATTACGAAATTAGCAGGGATAACTTGGATCCGCATAGCCAACAATAGAAAACAATGGGCCCAACTACAAAAGGAGTATGTGAGGAAGGCTACACAATAATTGGAAATGGTTGAATAAGCAGAAAATGATGATGATGATTAATGACGACTATAGTGGCTGAGAAACATATAACATGCAACTGAAAAAAAAACCATCAAGTTAATAAGGCTTAAAAACGACGAATCGATGACATTCACTATATGATTTTATTCGGGGTGTCCCAGAAATAAGTGCAAGTATTTTAACTGTCAGTATAGTTCAACCCCAGAAGGTTTTTTCGCGAAAATTTTTTTTTTGAAAATTCGAAACTTTTTAAAAATGTTTTTAGTTCTTAGTTAAAATACATAATTTCTTGATAATATGGCAGCATAGGTAGGGTATTATTTTATATGATTAAATTTACAAGAAAGAAAATCTAATAAAAATCCCGTGGTTCTCAAAATTTTAGCAAAAAAATCATTTTCTTTTGGAAATTTTCAAAGTAAAATTACTCCGTTATTTTGAACTTGTTTGAAAAACGATAAAGAGAAAATATGTAGCCAATGTAGCAAATTAATTTTGTCGTGCCTTATATAAGTTTCCCGTTCAAATTTTAATTTTATTTAAAAAATGCAAATGGTTATTTTATCTACATATTCTTCTAAACCAGGTAAATTGCAATTTAGGTAGGTTTTTTATTGAAATTCAAAATGTATTCTTAATTTTTAGAGAAAGTTAAATATAGTTCATATCAAATAAACTTTTAATCACGTGATTAAGCTTGACCGGCACAGCGTTGCCCACTTTTACATATTTTCTTTTAATCAAAATATTTTAGAAAACAAAAATAAATTAATTATAAATATATAAACAGTTAAAACAAAACCCACCTTCTTAACAGCATTTAAGGGACATAAAATGCTATTACTACCGCTTTCCAGTTCAAAATATTCTAATACAATTGCGATGAGTTTTTTACGGCTATTAAGCTATCTTGTACACTTCGCACTAAAATATGTTCTAAAAAGAACAATGTTCGACTTCGAGGTCTGTTAGTAAACATTTTTAATCTTAAAATATCACAACACTATTTGTTTAAACCAAAAACTCGTAATAAAAAACTAAAGTGTCAAAACGAATGACAATGTGAGGGAATAAATAAATAAATAAATACCATGGTAACAATAGATATTTTAGAAACCCTTAGGAGACCCTCAGTGAGAGTTGGTATTTTTTTACAATCTATGTTTTTGATGGGAATTGTGTCCCTCCCCCTTTTTTTAATGTCATATCAACAGTTAATATAATTTTGTGTTAATTGTTTATAATATTACTAAATATTATTTTTAGAAAATGAAAAGAATTTATTAATAATAATAACTCTCATTAACGACTGCTGTTCATTTTCATAGTGATACTAAATATAGATATATGTTCTTAGTAAAAACAAAGCATTTATTAATGATTGATGAAAGTTTAAGAATTCCACTCGATGGGGACTGCATTCACTACTAGTCAACATTTACCTTTGTGTACCTATCTATTTTAAGAAATACGGTATTATTCTAGACAATTCCATAAAGCACAAAAAATGCCTGTGTATACCTGGAGTGTTGCAAAGTTTGTGAACCAAAAAAACTTATAAACCTTACTTAATTTTGTAACTTGCTATCAGAACGTTTTAAGATCAATAAGCTTTGACTTTGACTTTAAAAAAATCGAATGGAACATCTCATATATAATGAGTAATTATTTATCTGTCATCATTCAAAGCATCTTTTATTATATTGAGTTTGTTCGAAAATGCCACACTTCAACAAAATTCTCAACTTCTTAACTCAACTAAATAACATAAAAATAAAATATTGAATTAAAAATTATTTCTTAAATATATCTGTTATATCGCTCTTCTGTTATTAAGCATAAAAATCTTCATTTCAACTTTGAGATATTTTAAAACAAGTGTTAGCGACTGTAGCGACTTATGACGTCACTGTGCCTAATAAGTTTGCCAAAAAAACAGAAATGCGAATGATCATTAATTAAATAACGTAAATTAACTTACCTGTAATATGATTTTCATCCTCGTTTTGTTTGATTCCCTCTTCACTGGACTTATCTTCTGCGTTTTCTTTGTTTTCTTCTTCATTTGGTTTTACCGAAGTTTCTTTGCTGGTATTACAACCCATGTTTCTTTAATTAATGTTTTTATTTGATCCACTAACACAATTAAAAATGTATCTATCTGTTACAAAAGAGGAGTATTTAAAATTGAATTTGTTTATGTTCTATAAAATTTATATTACTGTTTTTAATTAGCGCGTTTGAAATAAACCCACCCTGTATAATAACCGCCTACTCTACCACGTGTAATTAAGTAGGTACACTAAAATTCTTTGGTCCCATCCACAAGTACAATCGAAAATATTCGAGATTTATCTGGTATCCTGATCGGTTATCGTCGTATTCACCCTCACGAATTTAATTCCGGACTACGCACCCCCTGGATCAAGACCAAACGAGGGTGTTTCTCTCGTTTATTCCATTCAAAATTGTTTTTACCCGGGGTTTTGTGACTTGCGCCGCTACATGCTGGATCTAATTTACGTTGTGACTCATTGTACATTTCCCAGAATGTTGCACACTCAGTTTCCTCTTAATTTTCATACATAAAATATATTCTTATTATCCTTTTAAAATAAAATTCGATTAATACCTTTATTTCCATCCCTTAAACCTTAAAGTTATAAATCAATTGGAATCTGCAACCAGTAATACACCTTTTGCAATTGTTTATTTTAAGGTGGATCAAAATTTCAATTTTCATATGTTAAAACGCTCGTTATTAGACCATTATTGTACTATGTACCATCATTATTCCTGTAATTTTTTAAATAATTTACTGATTTTCTTTAATAACTTTATCTGTATAGTTACCGTGTTTACTACTTAATTACATAACCTCACATATATTGTTCAAATAAAGTGAATGTTTTGGAAGTGATAAATTCTTTTTTTACGGTAAATATAGTGATTCAAATGAACGTATTATGTCGGACATCAAAACAGTGTTATTTATTTCGAGTTTAATTTTTCCAAGGCACAATGGATACTGGTTTATTTTCTATATGTACTTCCAATATTACAGCATAATTAAAAGATCAATTTCTTATCAGCTCAGGACTCTTTCTGATGGTGTTATATGGAAGCTTGTAAGAAATAATTACAAGGCATGTTGTGATATTAATAATACTGTAATTGTGCATCCAGACACTATATATAAACGTGATCGGATACTTGAACTTACCCAAAAAGAAGATGGAGTTTCTCGTATTGTGTTTGTAATGTCTGCAGCGTGTTGTGAGAAAAATTATGTATACACATCGCACACATTATTTCACAATGCAATTAAAACTGATTTTGATATTAAGCTCTATACACCACTAAAAGAGATTAAAGTGGCTGAAGAAATAGAACTATCATTAGTCTCAAGTCCTCATGACATTAATAATGCATTAATAGATACAGTGATTCAAAATTACTTTAAGCTTCCTAAAATTATATATAAAAATGATTTAATTCAAATAGAAGTTAAACATTTTGCACCTGCTAATTTTTACACAGACTTGAGAGCAAATACAATTAACAAAATATATTTTAAATGTAATAAAGTTATTGTAAATAAAGAAGAAACATCAGAAGGATGTTTTTGTGTGATCGGAGAAACGGCTATAAGACAAGCACCAAATATTCAAAGTTTTCTACCGAGATGTATAACTGAACCAGCAAAGAATGTTAAAATGGGAAAAATTAGTATTTCCGAAGTATTTTTTCCATTTGATCTACCAAAATATACAAAGATAGCAGATGCTATTGAAATTTTTGGAGATATAGATAGTAAGTACCTCTAACATTATAAAACTTGTTAAATATAATGTAATCAAAAAGTTTTGTGGTATATTTTAGACCATGCAATATAAAAAATTTTTTAGGTCCTGAGTTAAAGCAATTAAAACCATTGTTTTTAATAGAAGGTGAAGATGGCTGTGGAGACAGAATGATCCTATCTTATATAGCAGAAGAATTAGGAATGCATTATTTTCATGTGAATAATTCAGACTTTACAGCCAATGTTTATGCTCAGTATGAAACAAAACTTAATAATATATTTTTTACCGCTAAAATGGCAGCTCCCTGCTTGATGGCAATTTATTCATTTCAGGTATACATTTAAATGCAATTAAACTTTAAAATATTTATAAGAAATTCTAAAGTTGTGGCAGATAATATTTAAATTTGTATATTATCGAAGATGTACCATACATGGCATATAAACCTACAATACAATAAAAAAATGCTATCAGAGATGGCTTGGAAATGAAGATGGCTGTCATTTTGTATGTAAAATTTTATGGAAAATGTCATTGGTCGTCATTTCCAAGACAACTTTTTTTCCTGTCATCGTCATAATATTCATTTTTGTTGAACAAATTTTTTTATTCTTATTTTTTATGTGACATTAAAAAACACAAATACAACCCTAAATTTTTACCCTTCTGCCATTAACCCCTATTTTTTAATAATAGGGGTTAATGGTAGAATAAAAATGACTGTTAAATAAGTGCAAGTATTTTAAGGGGTGGTAGATCTCGATAAAGGAAACATATAGTACGAGAGCTAGCAACGTCGGAAAAACAAGTATTTTAAGACGTCTGGCTCTTTGATATATCTTTTATTATGCTCTCTGGAACAGCGTGCACGCCGTCTGGCTGCTGATACACGTTGCGTTCACTGCTGCGCATCCAAAGAACATCCTCTATTTTTTTACTTAGCGGTTTAAATTCCAGTATTGAATAAAAACCGAGCAAGTCTCCATTAGCTCGACGCATAGAGCTTTCGCCAAAGAAGCGAAGGTCAGTGGTTCGATACTGGCTGGGGGTACAACTTTTTTATTTTTTTTTTCGTTTATATTCTGATAGTAAAGTAATAAATATTTGCTGACACTAATATTAAATAAAAATATTTAATTCAATTATAATATGTAATTAGATTGTAATGATTTAAACATAATGTCTAAAAATAAAACTAAAAATGTTGGCCGTAATTTTTTCTTGCCTCATTCATAAAAATATTTAATTTTTTTATAATTTCATTTTAAAGATTTAAACATAATATATAAAAATTAACATTTTAATGCTTTATTAACGTAATTTCTGCCTGTCTTTCTTCAAAATATTTTTTTCAGCTGTTGCTTATTATTTTAATAATCATTTTAATAATACTTTTTTTTAACAGATTGTTTTCTAAAAGCTACACAAGTTTATTTTCAGTTCAGTTTGTTAAGATAACGATGGGAAACAAAATTATCTGGTTAAATTAAATAAAATAAAATAATTTTAAACAACTTTTTAAACAAGATTGATTAATGTTAATGTGTAGAAAATACGCAAATCTATGGGTAGAATATTTAATTACATAAAAAACTAGCAAAGTAATGTGAAAAAAAACGCATCATTGTATCTCCACTCATAAACGAGAAATCCCAAAAAACGCACGAAAATGAGACACCCTGTACCCATGTGATGCGCAGTAGTGAACGCAACCTACCGGCGCGGCAGCCAGACCATCCTAAACCTATCTAATAATTAATTACCACAATAATCCTTCAAAACAAATGAAAGTATCAAATTCTACATATATACACTACGCATCATAAACCCACAAACGCCATCCGTTCTGGTGATAAAAAAAACAAATATTTAATACTTTACTATCAGAATATAAACGAAAAAAACAAAAAAGTTGCACCCCCAGCCGGTATCGAACCACTGACCTTCGCTTCATAGGCGAAAGCTCTACGCGCCGAGCTAATGGAGACTTACTCGGTTTTTATTCATTACTAGAATTTAAAGCGCTAAGTAAAAACTATAGGATATTCTTTAGATGCGCAGTAGTGAACTTAGCGTGTATCGGCAGCCAGACGGCTTGCACGCTGTTCCAGAGAGCATAATAAAAGATATATCAAAGAGCCAGACGTCTTAAAATACTTTCTCGAAAACGTTGCTAGCTCTTAGACTAATATGTTAAAAATATTTATAGCAAAATTGTTTTTAAAAGAGTACCTAGTTTAAAATTCGAGAAAACAATATTTTGAAAATAGATATTTGTGTCTGGAAACGTTCTATTCGTACGTTGATATTAGCATATTTAGAAGAAAAAAATTATAAAATTTTGATATGTTGAGGTTATACGTACTAAAAGGAGACTTTTTAAAATCAAAAGAGTTCCTTAACTCTAAAACTCTAAAGTGTGAACTTCACCCCCAAAAACCACCCCCAATGCGGTGGTTTTTCTCGTTTTTCGCGAAAACCATTAGTCGCACAGAAAATGTTATTCTTGTCAAAAATATTCTCTATAAAATTTGCTACAAAAAAGGTTCTTATACTGATTTGTTTTTTCGAATAAATATCGAGCAGGAAGCGATCGAAGTTAAAGGTAGTTTTCAGCGTAGATGATTTTTGACCTGACCTTATCAAATTATTTAATGTCAATGAATAAAACACTTTAAGATGTTAAAATAATGTTCAATTGTTGCAATGGTAACAAAATTAGTATATTTTTTTAGTCGTGACATTGTTTTTGATAGCAATACCTTATTGGTCGAACAGAAAAGCAAATTTCTAGGCAATATTAAAAATAAAGAACGACTAATTTCGCAGCTTGCAATACACCTGAACAGCGAGAATATTAGCACATCATTTGCAATAGATGATGCTGTTGTTCAAATTATTCGTACTGCCATCAAAATATCTGAGAAAAATGAACAAGTTCTAGTCGTTGGACAAGATGTCGATCTTGTTGTTTTATTAGCAGCACTTTCCCCCGATGAAAAAGACATTCTTTTTTTGAAAGAAGCCATAGATAATGTGAAACAACGAATTTATAGTTCGAGAGACGACAACGAATTTATGGTTCGAGAGACGGCCATCCATTATACGTAATTTAAAAAAATCAGTTTTATTTATTCACGCTATTAGCAGGTGTGACACAACATCAGGATTTTTTAGAAAAGGAAAACAACAACACGTACAAATATTTAATAAAGAAAAAGACCTTCATTCCGATATTTTTAACAACACAAAGTCAACACCTGAAGAAATTGAAAAAGCTGGAGAGGCGTTTATACTGAAACTATACAAACTTCAATCATCTGAGCAAAGATATACGCTTGTTTTAATAAGTTAGTTGGTCAAGCAAACAGCACGGTACTTTCTTTCAACATTCCCGCGGAACATATCTTCAAGTACAAATATGGCAAGAACAACCTATAAAACCCGACCAGTGCGGGGCTGGAAGAAAATCAACAACACCCTGTAACCTTTATATACAACAGAATCGCCCGCCCCTGCTTCAATTATGTCATTAATAACGTGCGACTGCAAACAAGATTGTGTAAAAAGATGCAGTTGCATTAGAGCCGGCATGAAATGTACAACTCTATGCGGAACCTGTCGTGGGCAAAGTTGTTCGAATGAGCACATTCTAGAAACTATAGACGATGACAATATGTAGATGAATATTAGTTTAGTGGAATAGGCAATGTCTTTGTTTATATTATACAGTATTATATCTGCGTGTATATTTAGCACGTTAAAATACATTGGGAGACTATAATTTGAAAGGCGACCTGTATTTTTTTGTACTCCACTTTTAAATAATGAATAGAATCTTTTTTGTAGCAAATTTTATAAGAAATATTTTCGGAAAGTACAAAATTTTTTGTAGGACCAACGGGTTCTGAGAAAAAAACGAAAAACCATCGAAGGGCGTATTGGGGGTGGTTTTTTGGGGCGAAGCTTACACTTTAAAGTGAAGAACTCTTTTGATTTTGAAAAGTCTCCTTTTGGTGCGTCTAATCTCAACATATCAAAACTTTATAATTTTTTTCTTCTATTCGGCTATTTTAGGTCTAATATAAATACACTATATCCTTTTTTAATCTTTCTAGAACTAGTGTTATGTCTAGAAATTGACCTCGTTAAAATTATCATTGATTGTCATTCCCCAGCCATCTTTGACCCCGCTTGATTCGAACATACGGTACTACAGTCTACAGTCTGTCTAGCCAAAGTATATGTAACAATGACAGTTGTCATTTTAATTCGAGAGAATTTTTTTCGTCGGTTTTTGGATAGAGTCTATCGAATTTGTACCTTTTATCGCCTTTGACTTCTTACTGAACAAGATAAATAATTGGGGGATATGTGATTGGGGGTAAAGACTGTCCAATAAGTCAGGAAAGATTTCGACAGACGAAATTCAAAAATGACCGGTTTTCCCCAAGAACAGTTAACCTAATAGGACTGCTCATTCAGCCAAGTGTCTGCCAGGTGCATGCGAAAACTACTCGCATGGTGACGTCATTGTAGTCCTTGTCATGGTTATTAGTCCTTATCCGGCAACCAATAATACACACGTGCATTATTGGTTGCCGAATGCAAAACGTTCATTATTTAGTTTATTTATTTAAACACCTTATATGTATGCAGTATAGAAAATTAACTGTATAAATCGTATTAAATACTCGAATAATGCATTTTTAAGAACAGCAGTTCCCAGCATCACCTTTTGCAAGCATTCTTTTTAGAGTACTTCCATATTTTGCTTTAAAATAATTAATAAACAAAATCGTGGGCACTTAGTAAGCACTTTGTCACAATCCACAACACAAAATGAACGTATTTATACACTCTATAGCTCTAAAAACTTTAAAGACACCTTTTTCACATTTAAAATTGACAAAATAATTAACTCAAAATTTCTCAGCTGTTATTTTTATAAGTTTACCATAGGCAACTAATAATACACACTATCATGACAAGGCCAACAAGGCTTTGACAAGGACTACAATGACGTCACAACTGTCAGCTGAAGCGCGGGAAGAGGCGAACGTACGTCTTATGAGGATGAGCAATCCTATTAGTTTACCGTTCTTGGGTTTTCCCGGCGAATTAAAACGACAGGCAACCACTGCTACTGTGTATCCCTCTCGTAGGACAGACTATACAGGGTGGCGCACCCCATTCGACTCGGTTAATTATACAAAAACGGAAAGATGTAGAAACAAAATATTTTACGGGTATATGTGGGAAAACAATGTGCATAATTTAAAATTATTTTGAAATATACAGGGTGTGTCAGAACTAAGATCCATACCAAAGTTATATTTTTTCTTATGGAACACCCAGAATTTTATTTCATTTTTGTATTCTAGGACATAATATAAGGCATTTATTATAAGGGTTTAATGTTAATATGTCTAAAAGCTTTGGTTTTTGAGATATTTAAAGATATATATGCATGCTATAATAAAAAAGGTTGTCAAACCCTCTATATATTATTTTTCAAAATTAATTCTTGTGCTGACTTTTAAGCCAGAGAAATAAACTTTACTGAAAAATTTGATTGCTTCGTTTAACATATACAGGGGTATCAAAAATTGCTGGTCTCTTTTTATCATTTATTTTACATAAAAACTTCGTTATTTCAAATACAACACTATGTATTTTTTAAAATAAGTCGAAGCAGATTTAAATGCTCTTTGAAAACTATATTAGGGTTGCCTAAAAAAGTTGACTGGTTACAATTTTCTAGTGACAGTTAGTAGCTATTTTCAAAATCGACATTCGTTTATGGACTTTATTTAAATTTATAACAGTTTACTTTTATTTAATTCACCTACAGTAGTTTAATAAGTAAGTACATATTTATGATTTTATCAAGAAAAATAATGTAGTAGTTCTTTGATTTATATTACGATAACTTGTAGATATATTGGATTTTCTATAAAAGAACCAATTAAGGCAAATTTATTTTCTTCACTTCCAACGACACGTCTCTGCCTAATGGGTTTTTCATATACCACACTATCAGCTCTGCGAAATAGGAAAAGTAGTTTTTCAAAGGAACGCTTGTCAAAAAATTCCTATTTGGATATCTTTGAGCATAAACCCTTCAGCAGCCAACAAGCAATTGTCTTCACAAAATAAAATCGCTAGTAACATATCCATTCCTTCCGCCGGCAGATACTGCTTCATTTTTCTTGATTATTATTTATTGTAGGTAAATTAAATTAAAATAAGCTGTTATAAATTTAAATAAAGTCCATAAACTAATGTCGATTTTGAAAATAGGTACTAAGTGTCGCTAGAAAATTGCCATGCCGACACCAGCCATCTTGATTACAATTTTATTCAAAAATCGCTTTTTATTCAAAATCTGAGCCAAATAGGTATAGGAAACCTTAATATAGTTTAAAAGAGCATTTAAATCTGTTTCGACGTATTTAAAAAAAAAATATATAGTGTTGCATTTGAAGTAACGAAGTTTTTATGTAAAATAAATATTTAAAATAGACCAGCAATTTTTGATACCCCTGTATACATTGAAGAAAGCAATCAAAATTTTTAGTGAAGTTTATTTCTCTGGCTTGAAAGTCAGCACAAAAATTAATTCAGAAAAGTAATGTATATGGTGTTGACAAACTTTTTTATTATAGCATGCATATTTAAATATCTTTAAATGTCTCAAAAACTAAAGTTTTCAAGCATATTAAACCCTTATAATAAAAGCCTGATTTTATATCCAAGAATGCAGAAATGAAATAAAATACCGGGTGTTCCATAAGAAAAAATATAACTTTGGTATGGATCTTAGTTCTGACACACCCTGTATATTTCAAAATAATTTTAAATTATGCATATCGCCTTCCCACATATATCCATAAAATATTTTGTTTCTACATCTTTCCGTTTTCGCCTAATCAAACGAGGCGAATGAGGTACGCCACCCTGTATAACGATATATTCTACATTTCTGGAAACAATTTGTGAGCAAATTATTTACTAACAGACTTGTTATGCCCTTAGTTATACCATAATTTTAAACCGGCTTATAGAATTTACAAGTCAAATGTATAGTACAATATTTGTTTCAGAACTTTGGAAAAAATAATGAGGGACAATATGATCAGAGGTTAATAAATGCTTTTGTACAAAATATTAACAATTTATTCGATAAAAATTCTTTTCCTGTGATAGTTGTGTGCTGCAGCAACACTAAAGAAATTTCTCCCGACCTTAGGAGAGTTTTTCTTGAAACTTTTGAAATAGAAGCTCCTACAGATATGGAGAGGGAACTGTGTTTAGAATGGATTCTAAAGAAGAATGATATACTTTTAAAAGGCGTTGATTTAAAAGACATTGCAAATAAGACTAATGGGTTTCATATCGAAGACTTAATACTAATGGTTTATTATTCTGAGAATAATTTTTATCAAAACAGTCCCAAAGCAGAATGTGTGATATTAGAAAATGATAACTTTCAGTATGCTATAGGTTTGGTAATAAATTTATTTTTAAATAATCTCATGTAATTCTTTGGATTATTTTAGATTATATGCAATCAAATTATAATGAAAGTATCGGTGCTCCCAAAGTACCAAAAGTGCAGTGGTCTGATGTGGGTGGACTAACTGATGTAAAGGAAGAAATTATCCAATCAATTAATCTTCCATTAAAGCACCCAGAAATGTTTAACAAATCTGGTTTAAGTAGATCAGGTATGTAAAGCTGTACGCACACTGGTGCGATCACGGCCGCGATCACGATTTCCACGCGGCCGCGGCCAAAAGTTGCTGAAGAATACATATGAGCCGTTTCAAATTGGCGCGATCGAGTTTTGGAGACGAAACGGCCTGGCGGCGTTCTATTCTGCGGTGGCGATCAGATTCAACTTGTCGAATTTGATCGCGTGATCGCGACCCAACAGATAGGCATTTTCCGTTATTTTGTGTGTTTTTTTCTGGTTGCAATTTAGAAATGGAGCAGAGCAGCTAATTAAGGCTGTCTAAATACACAAAATTCTATATGATTTATCCGATCCAAGTTACAAAAATAATAGAATTAAAAATCAAAAGTTTCAGACAAAATTGAAGTTGCAATTGGATTGGATAGTACAAATGTATATATTTTTATTGTTTAAGTTTAAATATTGTAGGTAAATATTTAAGAATGATTTTTTTCCGGTATACATAATTCACATTTTAAATTTGTACCTATGTCTACCTACAGGATGGCGCACTACATATAGGTACGGCCGTGAACGTGAACGCGTTGGTGTGTGCTAGAATGATCGCTCATGTTATCGCTGCGCTGATCGTGATCGTGATCGCGGCTGTGATCGCACCAGTGTGCGTGTAGCTTAATATGTGTGCAAAATATGTAGTGTGTCAGTGGCGGCTCGTGACCCGTGAGACTGGGTAGGCGACAAAATTTTAGTTGCGTCTATTTGCCCCCCCCCCCTAATTTACATAATATCTATCGAGCTCGAAATAACGATCAAACTGACTGTTTGATCGAGCTCGAAATAACAATGTAGAAATTAAATTTAAAAAATCTTTTTGTTTGTGTTTAAAAGAAAAGTAATGTCGTTGGATATGTATTTTAATATTTTATAAAGGAAATGTCCTTGTATTCCAATGTCATATGATGCTAGTTTTTAAGGCCTTTTTGTGCAGAGGATGTTTTTTTGCTAATTGACTCAGTCAAACTGTCCTGATGATGGGAATAAAATTCTCGAAAGCTTAACAAATTTGAAGAAAGTAGTTTTATTAGCCTATGTGGTGATTATTGACTGTATCCTCACTTAAATTTTGTGTTTTTTTCTTAACTTAGTCACGACTAACCTGCTATTTATTTATTTACGCAAACTTAAAAAATGGTAGTATTGAGAGAAAGAATAATTATGTTTTATATATTAAATTGATGAGTCGGTCTCTTAATAAAGAAAAGTTATTTATTATTATATCAGTAAAATCATCAGATTCTTGAAGAGCTGTGAAAAGATCTTTTTAGATTGAAAATAAGGTAAGTAGCGATAAACGTTTATTTTTCATGGAATCTCTACTATAAAAAATGTGTCTCAACCCAAGTACTTGTAAATGGTGTAGTAACAAACAAAACAAACAATTTGAAAGCCTCTGGAAATATATTTCCAGGATCATTCTCCTTAAATTATTTTATGCTCGAAATTATCATATCTATTATTAATATCTGCAATTTATTCATTAATTTATGTTGGTCAATAACATTTTTTTGTTTTTTAAATCACTATTAAATGCGTTGGAAGTTGGAAATGTATCAATATGACAAGCTTGTTAAATCAGATGTTAAATGCGTTGGAAATTTTTTTATAGGATTCTTTAAATTTCGAATCCGCAAGAGATAAATAAAATTAATTGAGACATACGAGTAGGTACATATCCGCAAACCTTATTTCTAAATGTATAACAATGTTATCTAATATTTCATAAAATAACATTCGCAAAGATATTTGACTTAGCCGCTTTTATTAACATATCGAATTGAAATAGCACAGAGACTTTTCTTTAATATCTGTTGTATCGTCTTCTTGCACCGAATAAAATAACGCGCTTTTTATTACGGATTCTTTTATTTCTGTGGCGTGTGCTGAAATACAACCGGTTATATCATTTTTAATAATGTCGAACAAGCCCGAAAAATGTTTCCAATTTGCTTTAAACGTTTTTTGAACCTTCATATAAAAGTTTTAAATGCTACGTATAATGAATCATATGAAATATCCCCTTAACGAAATATGATATATCTCCTTATGAAATATCCGGAATATACCCTTAACATATAAGCCTACCGAGCTTCCACGACTTCATGCGAAGGCGACCGGAGATTTCGCCTAAGCCCCCCCCCTTAATATGATACAACTCCGACTTACGTCGCGTCGCTACCGCACGATGAGTTAGACAGAGACAGAAGACTGCCGTACGTCGTGCATCGACTCTGATAGTAGGCGATGTAGAAATCGCCGAACAAAGGTACTCTAACGGTCGAAATTATTTTGTTTTCCAACGCAGCGGCACAGTCAGCGGTCAGCGTACGCCAACGGTAGTGAATATGTTAATATACAAGACCACAAATATTAAAATAATATTGATTATTAAAACACACTTCTGTGTATTAACATTTTTTTATGTATTGGCAACATTAATAGTAAATAATGTAATGTAATAAATCGCTTAAATTCTGCCAAAATCTTAGGGTAGGCGCCGCCTACCTTGCCTACCCTGACGAGCCTCCACTGTAGTGTGTGTATAGCTCGGTCTACACATAATATTTTACCTTACGTTTTACATGTCAGTTACAACGGAAGTCTTCCGTCGTTAGTGTTCCGACAGCTAGTGTTTTTCGGAATCGGGAATTCCGGTACATACCACGCCTCTAAGAAATCGGAATTTCACGGTTTTCTCGGTACTTAGTGCCGCAGTTTGTTAGTTAGCAAGAAAGGGATAGTTTTCAAAAGTAAAATCGATATAAAATTGATTTTTTTTAATGAAAATCATATCAATTATTAAGTAATCAGTCATGAGAAAATTGGAAAAACATGAATACAAATGAACACAATCGAAGAAAAAATATAAATAACTATGCATATTTTTGGTTTTAGGAATTTTATTATTTGGTCCACCAGGAACGGGAAAAACCTTAATAGCAAAAGCCGTAGCCACCGAATGTAATCTATGTTTTTTAACAGTGAAAGGTCCAGAGTTGTTAAACATGTATGTTGGACAATCAGAACAAAATATTAGAGAAGGTGAATGTTGTTCTAGTATTACCTTGAATCTGTACCGGGTGCGTCTCAAAAGTGGCTCATCCCCTATAACTTTTTTATTTTTTCAGATAAAGAACGATATTTGGTATGTTACTATATGACATAAATTAGGATTGATTGGTGTATTCAATTGTTTTTGGTCACTTCCTGTTTCACCGGAAATGACTACAACTTTTGATTTTTAAATGGCACCCTCGGTATTTTTTTACTTTATTCGATAGAAAATGACATTCTGAATAGAATGATATATCATATGTCAACTTTTGACATTCTCGCTTAATAAAAAATTGTATTTTAAATTTCAATCTAGAATGCCATGGCTATGTTAAAAGAACTAATTCTTCATCAAGCAGCCTTGGAAAAATAGATTTGGACGTCTAATGTTTTTAGTATCTTGTCCTGGTCTGTTAGAAAATTCTCAAATCGTAGTTTTAATCATAACTCAATTTTTTCAAATGGAACAAGGGTGGCTCATTAGCATATTTGGAAAAAGCATTTTTTTTACGAATAATTCCATACTACACACTTGGTATTTCAAGTCAAATTTTCGTTACGACCCGCAAGTTATAATTTCAAATAAACCATATGCGAAAATGTCAAAAGTTGACATATGATGTGTCATTCTATTCAGAGTGACATTTTCTATCGAATAAAGTAAAAAAATACCGGGGGTACCATTTAAAAATCAAAAGTTGTAGTCATTTCCGGTGAAACCGGAAGTGACCGAAAACAATTGAATGCGTCAATCAATCCTAATTTATTAGTCATATACTAAAATACCAAAATTCGTTCTTTTAACTAAAAAAATAAAAAAGTTATAGGAGTGAGCCACTTTTGAGACGCACCCGGTATAACATAATTTCAGTCAACAAGTCATTATTTAAAACAAATATTTTCTTTATTTATTTGTAGTTTGTTTCGCGGAAAAAAGTTACTTAGGTCGTTTTGGAAGCAAACAGATTATTTATTGACAGGTTTTCAAAAAAATGAACTTTGTGGTATAAACATTTATTTTTTTAAAAAGTCACTCATTCTCAACTCTTATGTTTTAATCATAGTCGAAAAATAAAATGTTATATTATGATTCTTGTTCTTCAGGGGTGACTGCAGAGTTAAGTGTACGATTTAGGCCTTTTTCTTTTGTTTTGGTTTGGTTGGTTTGGTCTATTATTTTTTTGTTAATGTGGCGCTTCCCCCATTCATATTTACAATTTTTGTTTATTTTAATTTACAAAGTTTGGATGTGACAGTTTTACATTACTGAGAGCAACGACGATTGAACTTGTTTCCATGGCTAACTAAGTGAAATTGTTTAAAAATGATAAGAATTGGCTATACCTCAGTCATTTTTCAACAAACATATAGCTTATATCGCTGAAAAGCTTAAAAAATGGCGCTTTTTATGAAGAAAGATTAGCTACAACTTTTATCTGAAAACTCTTTGTCTAAAATAGATTATAATGGAATTATTGACAATTTTTAAAATAGCCGAAATTTGTTTTTTTCGAAATATCTAGTAAGCCATGAACTTTTTCAAAAATCTGAAAGGCGTATGTTTTTGAACCTACAAAACTGCAATTCTTTCCTCATTTAACCGACTCTTTATCTCCAGTAGTTTTCGAGATACACATAGAGAACATCGTAGGAAACTCACCCTGTAGATATAGTTACAAACATTGTTAGACTGCTAAACTCATAAATTGAGTATTATTTATATGGTTAAACTATATTTTAGTATTCAATAAAGCTCGTCAAGCGTCACCCTGTATTATATTTTTTGACGAATTGGATTCTTTGGCTCCAAATAGAGGTCTTTCTGGAGACTCCGGCGGTGTTATGGATAGAGTTGTCTCTCAGCTTTTGGCAGAAATGGATGGATTAGATAGTAATGGAAAAGTATTTGTTATAGGTATGAATAATAACAATGTTAAAATAGTTTATTTTAATTAAACACAAGTTTTTTTGAAAAGCACTTTATTCTAATAAGCTTTAGGTAAAAAACATCTAAAGAACTTTTGCAGTTGTAAATATATAATTTTTTTTTAATTATTCAAGATCGGCTAGAGATAGAACTTGTGGAAATGTGTAAAAAATATAAATATGAAAAAAAATTAAAAATAGTCAATTAATTTTCGTGGTAAAACGACAATTTCTAAATCGTCTTGTCGATTGAATAAAAAGACCTTGACTTGCTTTATTTCCAGGCGCTACAAATAGGCCAGATTTAATAGATCCAGCTTTACTTAGACCAGGAAGATTTGACAAACTGTTGTACGTCGGACCATGCACAGATCTTCAATCCAAAGTTTCTGTTTTACAAGCCTTAACAAGGAAGTACGTTTATAGAGTTATGTCTGTTTTTTTTTCTTGTAAATTACATATTTTAGATTTAATTTATCAGATGATGTTAATTTGAAGAACATCGTGAAGTCTTGTCCAGATAATATTACTGGAGCAGATTTTTATGGAATTTGTGCTAATGCTTGGTCGTTAGCTGCAAAAAGACTAGTGGAAGCTATTGAACGTGGTATGTACTTAATTTTAATGCGCTAAAGATACCGTATGATCGAGAAAAAACGGCGTCCAGTTGGCTGGGAAATGAAGGTCGCTGTCATTTTATATGTAAATTTATATGGGAAATGTCATCGATCGTCATTTCCCAGCCAACTGGACGCCATTTTTTTTCGATCATACGGTATAACTCTTATTTTTATTTCACTTCATGAAAGGTATTTTCTAAAGAGTAATTATTTTTATTCGCTTTAAACATAACTTGTAATGTGATACCGTTAACGACTATTTTCGCGTTTAGGTTATGCTGTTCTCATGAGATTGGTAATTTCACATTTAATCTGCATGTGATTTTTTATTTACTGTATAGCTTGGTTGTGATTTTACTATTGTAGTTTTTTATATCAAATAGGGTATTTTTTTCTCATAGTATAACTGAAATTCTGTCTTTGTGTCCACTTTATTTTATGAAAATATTCATAACAAAGTCGTTGAGATCTTCCTTGATAAAGATGAATATTAATTGATGTTCTATCTCCTTTGGGAAATAATAAGTCAGCAAAGAACACATATTTCCAATACAATGCTTATCAATGCAATTTATAGGCACTTCTGCGGCGTTGCAAAAGCAGTTACGAGAATAGCCACAAACAAGACAGGCGAAAAAGTTTTTAATAAAATATTCGCTAAAATTCACGGCAGATCACCTGATCAGCAAAGACAGAAAAACGCTTATAGTCCTAGATCCCAGAGGGATCAGACATAACTTATTTTCACAAGGATGAAACCTTAGACTCTCGGTAGTACTCTCATGTGCTTTGAATACCGGCATGTTTGTGAAATGGCAGATGAGAAAGGTAACTAAAAGAAATAAACGAACTTTACTTATTTTTACATGTCTGATTTTTGCATATGTTATTAAGATAGCTATTATAAAGTTATATTTAATCAGTCAGATAGATTGTAATGACCAAACATCCTCTAAATAAAAAAAATATTCAGCCGGGACTATGACCGCGGGAGAACTATGCGCTTCCCAGTAAAGTATTTAAATATTTTAAAAATATTACTTACTGCTTTCGATTTAATATTTTTGCATCTCTATTTAAATAAGATGAGCTTTTTTATTAAAGTAATAATTTTAGTAATTATTAAAGTAAATTAATTTATTGCATATAAACTACTCAAAACAATTATCGCATATTTTCTAAAAAAATATTAATTTGAAAAACAAGACACCTTGAATTCTCTGACTTACGTTTTTAGATAGTTTGGATACTGTAAGAGGAAATATTGGAAAACAAGCCTGGGTGTGAAGTGCAGTTCTTAGTCGGCTAACTATTTAGTTGCAGATTTGTAACCAATATAATTCTTATGAAGCCGTGCTGACATGCAATCAAGTAGTCGGCCGATCGGCTGCATAAGTATGTATTGTTTTCACTTTTACAACTAATCTTATTTAAATAGAGATGCAAAAATATTAAATCGAAAGCAATAAGTATTTTTAAAATATTTAAATACTTTACTTGGAAACGCTTCTCCCGCGCTCATAGTGCGGCTGAATAATATTTGTGTTTAGAGGATGTTTGGTCATTACAATCTGTCTGACTGATTAAATATAACTTTATAATAGCTGTCTTAATAACATATGTAAAAATCAAACATGTAAAAATAAGTAAAGTTCATTTATTTCTTTTAGTTACCTTTAAACCTCACCTGTGGTATCTGCCAAGGTTTTACAGAGCGAACCCCACAAACACGCCGGTATTCAAAGCACATGAGAGCCTAAGCCCACGGCCACACAGAAAGCGTTTTTTGCGTTTTTAGCGTGAAGCGTCTTTAGCGACTAAAACAAAATAACAGGATCATATAGGAATGGCCACACCAAAAGCGTGTAGCGTTCGGCGTGTCTCGCAAAAAACGCAAATGAAAACAAATCAGTTTGTTTTCTGTAGCGTCTTTAGCGTTTTCTAAGATGAGACCCCGTCATAGGCGGACGTTATATTTAATAATACAATAAAAATAAATTAAATAGTATGCATTTTTTTTTTTTCATTTTAGGTTATTATCTAAAATATTTTTATAAAGAACATCTACTGTTTAGGAAGATTCTATTAAATTCAAAAATTTGAAGGAAATGTTTGAGAAAGTGTAGTTTGAAATGTTGAAAAATTAATAAATCAAAGGAATATTTTCTTACGCGTAAAAATATTTTTTTATGCGTAAAAGTGTTTTTTCTGCGTAAAAAGGTTTTTTAACAGAAACAAATAGTTTTTTGACGCGTAAAAATAGTTTTTACGTGTAACAAATAATTTTTTTACCATAAAAATATATATTTTTTTACGCAACAAAAGGTTTTTACCAGAAACAATAAGTTTATGACGATTAAAAAATAATTTTTTTACGTGTAACAAATAGTTTTTACACGTAAAAATATTTTTTGCGTAAGAAAGGTTTTCTACCAGAAGCAATAAGTTTTTAACGCGAAAAAAATAGTTTTTTACGTGTAACAAATAGATTTTTACACGTAACAAATAGATTTATATGCGTAACAAATAGTTTTCTATCAGTAACAAATAGTTTTACACGCGTAAAAAATATTTTTTTACGTTTTAATTATTTTTAACAGTTTTATTCGCATAAAATAATAAAAATAATTTTTTACGTGTAACAAGTGTTTTTTTACACGTAATAATTTGATTCACTATACAAAATTTGTATTAAAGTAAAGTATTAAAGTATTCAAATATCAATATTTTTGATAAACACGTGGACTGCTCACAAATACACGTTGCGTCACTACGTATTTCTAAGCCGTTAACACGTTTCGTTACATCGAGCTCGTGTGTGCCGTCTCACTAGCTCGCATGTCACGGCCTTGAATTTTTACTCCAAAATGTTTCATAAATCATGTCCTAAAATTGCATTAGCAACTAGAAATATTTACTATTCTATTATATAATTATAATTATTTATTATATTATAATTATAACAAGTACTAACCACAACACTGCAACATAAAAAACTATACACATATAAACTAAAATTCGTAAAATAAATGGCAAATAATAATTATTATTTTTACACACACCACTGGCACTACAGTAGATTGTGTTTGTCTCCGAATATATGCCCCGGCCCGTCCACAATTCAATCCCAGCATCTTTTATCTTCGTCTCTTTAACGCTAACGGCGCCGATCTCGCTTATCTCTTTCTCACAGGATTGATTGTTGGACGGGCCGGGAATCCACGAGCTTGCGACGTTACTAATTGACATCTTAATACAAACTGCAGACCTGCCGCGTCTTTGGCGTGTTTTTAATGGGCACAAATCGAAAAAACCGCTTAAAACGGTAAAATCGCAAAAAGCGCTTGAGACGCAAAACGCTAAAAACGCTTTCTGTGTGGCCGTGGGCTAAGGTTTCATCCTTGTGAAAATAAGTTATGTCTGATCGCTCTGGGATCTTACTCTATTAATAAAGCTATAGTGGGTCTGCTAACATGGCATTATAAGCGGAATAGGCATATAAAGCTAATAGAATTGACGGACGAAGCCATGTGCAGGTTCCGTCAATCTAAAGAAGAACACTGTGCTGTTCTTTGAATTAGGCAATAATAGACCATTGACATAGTTAGCTATATGAGGGATTCAGTTCCCAAGATGCTAGACTTTTTTAAAAAGATAGGGCTGGAGATCAGTTAAGGATCAAAAGAGGACTAGGATAGATCCGAAAAGGTTGCAGTAGATCAGCCCGATAGCCACCTGGAATAATCTATCTTTCTTCTTCTTTTTAATCACTCTTTTTATTTAAAAAATGGTAGAAAACTAAAACTAAAATATTTTTTGCGTCTTGTGTGATGATTCAGATTTACTATATTATATTTATGCGTGTTTAGTGATTTTATTATTGATTTTATTTACTCTCAAAAGAATATCAATATATTTATTGTTTATACTTAGTAACGAGTACCGGGTTTTGAGGTTAAAAACATATTTTGTTTATACATGGTTTCTACAAGATAACGTCTAAATTATTGCATTTTATTAGAGTTAACAGCTAAGCAATTTATAATATAAGTATATACAGGAAACTATGTTCTTTGTATTTAAATATATTAATTTGGTAATACGTTAGAAGCCTGTAAGACATATTGTTCTTCACCTGTCTTGCCTATTCTTCACTTTACAACAGCTTTAGACTGGACTACTGTATAATATTCATACTATTGGTATACGTACAAAAACGAATTGTGACGATTTGACGCATTACGTTATCTGAGTTAAAAAATATATAGCAGCATTTGTTTATAAACTATTTCCTTATAAAACATAGAAAAAAGCAAGCAAACCTTCTTGCTATTTCTTGATATTTTTCTCAGATGCAAAAAAAACGCAACGGAAAATGTGTTCGTCAGATTTAAAGTGTTATTTTTTTTTAATTTTTAGCAAACTGTATATAAATATATCAGCTTTAATTCGTAAACTCAGTTTTTTATAAACTTTAGTATTGGGCTTTTTTTTAAATATGATATTACAACAGTAATCACCAAAGCCACGTAGTAACGTAGAAAAATAACCAAAGTATAACAAAAAAGTAATGAAAAAATTGAAAATTGGATATGGCAAATTTATTTTGCTCTTAAAAATTTACCGAAGCATGTATTGACATGAGCCAAAAAACTAATGCTCAGGAGACGTGATTCTGACCAATAAATAATGATTTAGGGTCATTTGCTGACGAAATTAGCGCACAGGGCGTTTTAAAGTGAGGGTAAAAAACAACCTTTCGATTAACCCTGTAAAATAATACTAAAGTTTATAAAAAACTGAGTTCACGAATTAAAGTTGATATATTTATATTATACAGTTTGCTAAAAAATCATAATAATAGGGCTTACAACGAAAAAAATATATAAATCCTTAAACTTCACCAAAATGTATATTGCCCCAGTTTTTTGCACCTGAATGTAAAAATATTAAGCATTTTTTGTAGATTTAAAAAAGCCACGGATAA